AAACTGAAGAGGACTTGAAGCACTTACTGATGAAGATCATAGACTACATAGTCTTCAGAATGGATTGCACATCAATGTAAACAAAACAAAAATCCTCAAAACTGGGCCAATAAGCAACATCATGATAAAAGGAGAAAATATTGAAGTTGTCAAGGATTTCATTTTACCTAGATCCACAATCAACGCCCACAGAAGCAGCAGTCAAGAAATTTGCATTGGGTAAATCTGCTCCAAAAGACCTCTTTAAAGTGTTGTAAAGCAAAGATAATCACTTTGAGGACTAAGGTTCACCTGAACCAAGCCATGATATTTTCAGTCTCCTCCTATGCATGTGAAAGATGGACAATGAATAAGGAAGACCTAAGAATTGATGCATTTGAATTATGTTGGTGAAGAATATTGAATGTACCATGGACTGCCAGAAGAACAAACAAATCTGTTTTGGAAGAAGTACAGCCAGAATGTGCATTAGAAGCAAGGATGGCATGAAACTTTGTCTCACATACTTTGGACATGTTATCAGGAGGGACCATTCGCTGGAGAAGGACATCATGCTTGGTAAAATAGCGGGTCAGTGAAAAAGAGGAAGACCCTCAACGAGATAGATGGACACAGTGGCTGCATCAGTGGATTCAAGCATAGCAAGGATTGTGAGGATGGTTCAGGACCGGGCAGTGTTTTGTTCTGGTGTACATGGGGTTGGTCACTGTGAGTTGGAACTGACCCGACAGCACCTAACAACAACAAGTAGGCCTTTATTAAATGGCATGATTATGTCTTTTTTATTTCCATGCTAATTCAAATCCTAGTCCTGGCTGACATCTCAAAGGAAAGAGCTAAGCAACTAAGCAATTTCAATAGGTCGCCTGATCTCACATTCTCTTCTTCTTCCTCAGTATTCGAATCCACCAGATCCCAACTCTAAAGTAAGGATGCTTTATTCCTTCTAAGTAACTCTTCTGCTTCTGCCTCTTAGTTGGTTTCTATTGTCTTGGGTTAAGGGAGAAGTGTAAAGAGAACAATAAAGGAAGTGTTGGGAGGGCATGCAGTTCCTAGTTTTTTTTCAGTTGTAAAAATACCTAGTTTAACTTTGGGAGTTGATTTATATGGTTACCTTAAGGTAGGAAGTTGAAGCAGGTGGATTTTTGAGATTGCTTTTTAGCCTTGTAATTGTGTTTTTATGATACAGTAGTGTGATTATGCTGTTATAGCTTAGGTTATAAACAAAAACTGAGCCCACTGCCGTCGACTGAATTCTGACGCATAGCGTCAGAGTAGAACTACCTCATAGATTACCAAGGCTGTAAATCTTTATGGAAGCAGACTGCCACATCTCTCTCCCATGGGGCTGTTGGTGGGCTCAAACTGCTGAGCTTTTGGTTAGTAGCCAGGCACTTTAACCATTGCACCACTAGGACTCCTAGCTTAGGTTATAGGGTCTTAAAATTAAGACACTTCCCTAAATCCATATTTATGATGAATTCTTTGGATAGGTATGCTTGGGCACCAGGCCAGTAATGCACAAAAGATGAAGTGGCTGTCTGCCTTATTGAAGGCACAGCATGCTGGAACCCTGTGTATCAAGGCATTGAGAAAGGCAGTTCTTTTCAGTCTTGTCAAGCCTGATGTAGATGAAGTTAGGACCAGAGAAGGTGAACCATCTTTCTCAAGCATTCTGCTTAGGACATTGCTGCCTATACTCTCAGTCCTGCTGAGATTGTACACATGACTTAGAGGAATTTTCACATCATCTTATAAAAAAAATCTTACAGCTATGTGAAAGCACTTAACTGAAAAGTGTAACAATCATTGCTCAGGAAATTTGCCAGAATAAAATCTTGATTGTGACCCCAGAATATTCACCCCCAAAATACTGACCTGAATGATTCTATAATTTAAAATTTTT